TATATATATATTATTTTTTTATTTTTTAAGTGATCCAACGTCCTGAAAATAAAGAAAATAACCTAAACTTCAAACTTCATCTGGCCTGATTCTTTGGCTGTGAGACCATTCTGGATTAAAACATCAGCTGGGCTGCTGCCATCTACAAATTCTGTTATGGATCATAGATTTTGGCCTGTTTCTCAGTGCTTAGTCCTGTTTTCTCCTATGCATACCCAAGGACCTTATGTTTTACTATGAATAAATGACCTTTTCTAACACAAAGTATTAATGGATCTGTTTTTCTATGCTCTTTCTAATGTCTGCTTTTGTCTCATTGAACCCCAGTGGGCCTCAGCAGAGAGAAGCTCTCAACGAGCCTGGTTCTGCTGGGGGTGTCTTTTTTCTCTCCACTGTCGCTGCTCAGTGTATGGGATTGCTGTAGAGTTAACAACTAATTACAAACCAATGCTTACTGTCGCCACATGCTCATCCAGGAGAGTTGAATCTTGTTAATTCAATGACTTGAGCCAACCTGACCGTATGATCTAATGAAAAAAGCTACATTTACATGGACACAAATATTTTTTTCTATGCTTTCTGAACATTTGCCTCAAAGAGTTTAATTGTGTTCTGATTTACAGCTTCACATTTCTGTGACAAAATACAATGACTTCTGTCTTTTTTTGCATTAAACTGGAGAAAATTCTGACCCAGCAACTGCAAGACATTTGGGACACACTGTGTAGGAAATGTTGTGTATCATCTGCACTGCTATTATAAGGAGTTTAGAGGGGTTTCCCATAAAATCTTTGCCTTAATTTGTAATGACAAAAGAAGTCCCGGTCAGCATTGTACCAGCCGGTCCCACCTACTTTTCACCATCTGTAATCAGGATGTATTAATCAACTGTGCTGAATGCAGCACTGGAAACAGTAAACTATTTAGGTGCAGCAGTGCCGAAACATTTCCAGCTGTTGCGAGTTCAGTCTCAGGCCTGAAATGAGGCCAGAAAACTGGACTTGAAAGCATAAAAAAAGGTTGTTGACACATTTCTTGATAAACTGTCTACTGGTTATCTTTGTCCAAAGTTTGAAGGGGAAAAAGGACTAATTAGGTCTTCTTTTGAATTTCAGAATCAATTTGCCTAAACGAAAGCGGCGTGATCGTTTGAAGGAGCTGGAGAGAGCTTCACCCAGAGAGAGCTTTGTTGAGGCAGATGTGGAAACAGCCAGCGAGGCCTCCTCCGAACAGGACTACAATTATGAGTTTGCCCAGATGGAAGTTATAATGAAGACTCTTGGAAACAATGGTATGACAGTTTGAAAGTCCTTATGTAAATGCAGGAACGTTTGCTTCCATTACACTTTATTTTCCACTTGGCTGACACTTTTTTCATTTATTCATTTGCAAATTCCAAGAAAAAAAAGCCTTTTGTTACACCGTATAATTGATGCACATAATCTATGTTTTTGTTTGTTCTTTTATCCACTTTTGTAGACCCAATGCAGAATGTGGTCCAGGTGCTTGAGAAGCAGTACCTGGAGGAGAAGCAGACAGCTCTGGAGGAGCAGAGGCTCATGTATGAACGGGAACTGGAGTCGCTACGGCAACAGCTGTCTCCAGAAAAAACGCAGCAGTACCACCGAAACAGCAGCGAGCGCCTCGCTTACCCGACACACACACCCCAAGGCAAGCTGAGACTGTGGACAGAGGAGCGGTGAGTGGAGTCCACAAAACCATTCATGCCTCCTTCATGTTCTCCTACGCAGTCCTGACAGAGATATCAACAGGACTTGTGAGCAAAGCTTTGACTCAAAGAGATGGGTGCTGGAGGTGCAGAGCTGCATGGTCTGCAGCTCTGCCTCCTTGTGGTGTCTAAGGGGCATAGCAGCTTATCTGAATATCAGTTTTACACAAGAACTTCGACTTTTTCATCAGAACGATTCATTCTTCAAGAATAATAGTTTTTATTTTACAGGAAAAAATTATAATATATAAATAACTGTTTTATACATTTTTAAGTGTCTAAAATATAGAAATATTTGCTTCTGGTTACATTGCCTTCATCAACACGAAATGATTTGGCACCAACAGGAATAGTAGGTAGAATTAAGGAGAGATGGAGCTCTCTGTGTTACATTTCTTAGATTTAAGTGAACCAAAGAAAGAATTATAATGAGGGTGAATGTTGGTCAAGCTTTTGGGTGTTGGTGCAGACTAAAAGGAAGTTTCACCACTAGGTGGGCTATTGTTCAACCTCTGTAGACCAAGAAAAAAAAAAACTAAACAAAACAGATAAACACATGGCATAGAAACATCGCCTTTCAACATTCATAAAAAGTAAATAAATTTGGAATGCTGATAGCAAGGCCAGTGATTGTTTTCAGGTGAACGTTTATATGGTTGATACGCTCTTGGTTATTTTGCTCTTACCACTGCTATTGGGGTGGAATTTTATTGGGTGTGAGGGGCTAAGTCTAAGCCTGAGTTTCATTTGGGTTATAATTATCTAAAAAATTCAGTTAACTACTTTTTTCCCAAAATTACTCTTGCTTAATCATATTTTTGTTGGAGAATATTTTGGAAACAAAATAAAAAACAAAGGTTTATGGGTCAATTATTTGCACTATTAAATCAGGAATAATCTGTACATCAACCTGTCAACAGTCACTTTAGAGAGTTTACCTACCGGTACTTTGCATCCTAAACCTGGCCTGGTTGCATGTCTACTGCACCTTTTATGTAAACAAGGACCCTCATGGCCAGTGTTAGCGTGAATGAGCAACATCATATTTTAAATTCATGTCATACTATCAGCCAAAGGTCTTCAAATTTGGTTGCTTCTGGAAAACTAGGATTCATTGTAATACTGGCCTAGAGGAGTGGAGTGTTTGAATCTGCGATGCTGCTCTGTCTGAAAGGAAATTAATAAAAAATGAGCAAATTAATGAGTTACTAAGAAAAAAACGTGATTAATTAATCAAAATGAACTCCATAAAGTTTCTTTTCTTACATAGTGTTCTTAAATTACATTTTTTTTTTACTTATGAAACAATAATGGTTTTCATGTTAATAGAGATAATGTTTTAAAGGAACCAAATGTCAATGTTTTTAAAGTCATCTTTGCTTCTTGAGGAATTGTAATTACATGATAACTTGTCTTTGAATGATTGTCTCTGCCCTAAATGTGTCTGGATGTCTGCTTTGATGAGACAGGGATGAGCTTTTCCGTCAGAGCCTGTCTCGACTCAGGGAGCAGGTCGTCAAGGCCAACACTTTGGTGCGGGAAGCCAACTTTTTGGCCGAGGAGATGAACAAACTCACCGACTATCAGGTCACACTTCAGATTCCTGCAGCCAATCTCAGTGCCAACCGCAAGGTAAGACCTCTGAACCCCCCCTTCTTAAAATGACTCCTCCCCTTTTCTGCAAAGGTTGCAAGTAAGATCTGAACTGTTTTAAATCTATTTTGATATAGCGTGGCGCAATTGTTAGTGAGCCAGCCATCCAAGTACGTAGGAAAGGAAAGGGGACCCAAGTCTGGACCATTGAGAAGCTGGAGAACAAGCTGGTGGACATGAGAGACCATTACAGAGACTGGAAGGAAGGCAGAGACGAGCAGGTGACAAACAGTGTCCGGAGAAAACAGATGGACATTAACCCAAATGAAATGCAGAAGAATAATTTCTTTTTACTCTTTCCAGTTCAACAAATCCAACAGAAAACACAGTGATTCCTTCTACGATGGCCAAGAGAACCACAACCTGATCGGTGTGGCCAATATTTTTCTAGAGTGCCTTTTCCATGATGCCAAGCTACAATATGCTGTTCCCATCATCAGCCAACAGGGCGAGGTAAATATAATATAACCATGCAGCTTTAGGATATGCATTATGTAAGTAGAAATTAATTGTCATGGATCGGTTTGGGTTTTTTCAAAGTGTGCAAAGCTTGCACAGATGTAAGATTAAAAAGACCTGTTGCTGTAATTGCTGCTACATACAAATACATAAATTACAAATGTATTTTTCCCTTAATCATGGGTCGTTGTTGAGTCTGATATGAAGGATTCCATCTTTCAGTGACAAAAAGTGGGAAGTCAAAGGGGTGGGAATACTTCCATTGCATTTGGATGTGATATTCAGTGATGATAATTTTGCAGCTTTGTTATGAAAATAAATCTTCTGCCATTATCCCTCTTTTTTATGTGTTCAGGTAGCAGGCAGGTTGCATGTGGATCTGATGCGGGTGAGCGGATCAGTGCCGGAGCGCCTCTCCGGTGGAGACGACTCGTCTGAGAACTCCAGTGAAAGCAGCTGCTATGAGGTCATGGACACCAACGGGGAGATTGTCCACATGGCCAAGAGGCTCACCTGTAGGGTAAAGCATCCCGTCCACATCCCAACACAGCTGCTGTTATCTGCCTTTTCATTGGGGACATCCTTTTCTGGGATTTTCCGCTTGCATGATCTCCATTCTGCCTGTTTTCCTGCCGCAGGTGAGGATCAAGGAAGCAACCGGACTCCCGCTGAATCTTTCCAACTTTGTCTTCTGTCAATACACCTTCTGGGAGCATGGTGAGCCCACTGTGGCTCCTCCCATGGTCAGCCCAGACACTCCTTCCCCTCGAAGCCCAGATTCTCAGTTCACTGTCCAGTTTGATCACTGCAAAGTATGGAATAAATCCTTACGCTGGTACAAGAATAAATGTTTTTCCATTAAAGTTTAAACTAAGGTTTTTGCTTTTTGCTTTCCAATTTGTCCAGGACTATGTTGTAAATGTGACAGATGAGTTTTTAGAGTTTATATCGGATGGTGCTTTGGCAATAGAAGTGTGGGGCCACCGCTGTGCAGGGAACGGACGTGCGCTCTGGGAGTTAGATGCTATGGAGGCCAAAACCCAGACACTCCGGGACAGGTACAACGGGCCTCTTGACTTCTGAATTAAACCCCAATGCTGAAACTTTACACCTCACTTAATCCCTGCTGCTGCGGCTTGTTAAAAGGTGGAGCGAAGTGTCTCGCAGGATCGAGCTCTGGGTTTCCATTCAGGAGCTGAATGAGCAGGGGGAGTACGCATCTGTGGAGCTGCAACCTGTGAAGGATGTCAGCACAGGAGGCATCTTCCAGCTCAGACAGGTCAGAGGAAAACAAGCAAGGCTGTCTGAATTGATCTTAGACCGACTGAATGACAGAAAATGTCCAACATGTCTGTGTGAGCAGGGCCATTCCAGGAGGCTCCAGGTGTGTGTGAAGCCGGTTCAGAACTCGGGCACGCTGCCTCTGCTGGTGGAGGCTGTGCTGTCCGTGTCGATTGGCTGTGTGACGGCTCGCTCCACGAAACTCCAGAGACCGCTGGACAGCTACCAGGTATGTGGAAAAAAATACATACCTGCACAGCCTGTGGGTGTGGGACCATATAGTCTTGACATCAATGGCCTGCATGCAATATCATGCTGAATCAGCCATGGGTTTATTTATCACGGTCAAGCTGCTCAGATGTTCTGTTGGCTTTCTGTATAAATTTCATATGGATTTTCTTTTAACGCTTTCGATTTACTGGCTTTTTCTGTCTTTTAAGAGGCTTTTCACTCTTGGTAAAAAAAAGAAAAAAAATATTTATAAAAAAAAAAAAGAAAAAACTGTAGAAAATCGTTAATGTGAGGTTTGTAACATAATTTTACGTGATAAGAAATTAACGAAACCCCACTTAGCTTCTTTTTATTTCTTTTTTTTCGTTCTGTTTTTGTCATTATTTTCCTCCTATTTGGGCATTAAAATATAAATATATTATTTATTTTTATACTGTTATGAAAGGAAAACATCTAGCAATTTTTGTTTATATATTTTTTAGTGTTTTCTAATTAGTTTTTTACTCAATTTTTTAATTTCCCATAATTTCCTTGTTTTATTGATATCTTATACTAGTTTAACCTCTAGGCTAAACTAATGTAATGTTTTTGTTTATTTAAAGATCAGTAGATCCACTTATCAGTGTTGAGTAGTGATGTCAATCTTTTTCTTGTGCTAAAAACAGAGCGGGAATTTATTTAGCAGTAGACATCGATACGATAAATACCAGGATTAGTCATATGGTGCTATTACTTTTCTTTCTGCTCTAAGGCTGGTTCACACGGGAAGATTTTAAAATTGAAGGGGATTTTCTAAAAATAAGGGACCTCACACATGACCATAAAAAATTTGGTTATAACAGTTTTGGTTTTACAGTGCGTTGTATCTAGCCAAATGACAAGAACACCTCACACAAGCAGGTTTTGGCACGGAAAAATCAAGCAAAGTGTGTTCACATGCCTCTGATGCGCATCATCGGTCTCTGTGTACATTGGCAGATATGATCGAGAGAGTGTCTTTGTTTATGCTCCTTGATAAGTGGAGAGAAAAAGTAGTTTTAAGATGTTTTTTTGAGCTTGAAATTACAGCTCAGTCACTTCATTCTGTTTATGACCCTACTTTCAAATATGTACCAAAAACAACAACAATCCGGTCCCATCTAGGCGAAATCGGATAAAATGACAGACCAAGTGTGCTCCTGATGTCCAGTCTGCTCCGTAGCTTTGTTTTGGTCGCTGTAACCGCAGAAAATCCTGCTTCACAAAGATAGGATGTTATAGAGAGGACGAGTCTTGAACTGAATTAACCTGTGTCAAGAGGCACAGATGCACCGACTGATGTAATTGGGAGAGAATGCCGCAATTTTTTTAAATATTTTTCAAAATAAAACATCACTCAGACTCTGATCGTCGATAAATTATATATATATATACTTTTTCTGTGCGGCCCGGTACCAAATGACCCACGGACCGGTGGTTGGGGACCGCTGATATAAAGCATATTTATGAGCAACATCTAATATTTTTCACTTGCAAATTTTGACATTTTAAGTTTATGTAGGTATGAGTTATAAAACAGTTTCTCCACAGCAAAGGAAATATTTTCCTATTAAACATTCTTTTCTTTGTTCATAATAGATTACATATTCTTGGCTTTTCATGCAGAACTAGTGGAGTTTATAGATGATGTTCATTTTCATTGGCATAGTCAGTGTTCTTTATTGTTTTGTTGTTTTGTCTGTCTGAATCTCTCTTAGCATTGCTGCAACATATTTATCGAATATTAGCAGAGTTGTTTTCGTCTTTTTAGATCGGACTGACTGGCATTCGTTGCGCTCAATAGTGTCACGCAAATGAGCGGGTCGGACTTGGTCTGATTCCCACTTTATGCCGATCGGACCTGAGCCATCTGAAGGCAATTTTAACCAATTTTGCAGAGTCCGTTGACCAACAAGTTTCAGTGGGCTGTTCCCACTGCCACTAAAAGCTGATTGTTCCCGGGTTTAAACAGGTTCTTTTGGCCAGTGAGAAAGGGGTATAGGTGACACCATAGGACCCAAGGCCAATTGGGAGAGAAAGAAAAAAATACTTGTTTGATTATTTATTTTTTTTGCATGTATAATGATTTATATGTAAATATGTTGACTGCAACAACAGGTATTATTGGCAGCATTAGAGGATCCCTAAATAAAATTTTGAATAGGACCCCATTGAGGCTTTGACCAGCCTTGCCCTTATGAGATGTAAAATAAAGATTGTATTAGGTATTGTTCAAAGATGATGTTTCAGGCAAGTAACTTTTTATTTCTTATTTTTTTTTATTTTACAGGTCTGATTTGTCAGTTATATTATTTAAAGGAATATAGCAAAAAAAAAAGAGGAAAATATACAAAATCCCCTCAGATTTCTGATGGGATAAATGTTTAACTTATCTGATGTTTTTGTTTTTTAAATGCACCGAAGAAAAACTCCATGAAATTAGAGATTTGTTTATTTATTTATAGATCAAACAGGATAGAAACTTTTAGTTTTGGATCATTTAAAAAATAGGAATAAGATCTTTCAATGTTTTAACAGATTCTGATGTTGATGCTGTTGATCCAGAAACTGAACAGAAACTTTCTCATTTCTTTTTTAGTCATATTATGTGAACCATTCTGTTGTAAAAAAAAAAATAAAAAAAATATATATATATACCTGCTTCTCCTGTAAAAAGAATAATTAGAGCTACTAGTTGCTTTGAGTTTTATTTCCAGAGCTTGTTCTGGTTTTCTCACCTTTGACAGAGTGTCCTCTCCCTTTGCCAGAAAGAGGAGGAAGAAGACATGGATAGTTATCAGGTACCCTCAATGTCTCCTCCAGCTGCTGCTCTCCACCCTGTAGTTCCATTTGCAGCATGAAGGAAACCAACTTATCATGTGTTTGTGAGACAAGAGCCTCCGTTGACTAAAGAAACACGCTTTATTAAACAACATCCGCACACATGTGGACGATTTCTGATGCTGTAATTATCCATTGCACCAGCAGTTGTTGATGTGAAAAACATCCCCACCCGCGGCTGAGCTGGCTTGTCTGCCAGGTTCTCGTCCCTCCCTCGCTTTCCCTTCCCATTCAGGATGTGCACAGCTATGCTACTTATTGCATGTCACCACTGAATAGCTCCAATAACAACCCTTACTTACAAGCAAGGGCATTGCATGGCCGCATGATTTACTGAGCATTGCATGGTGAAAGTGTGCCAGTGAGGCGTAACTTCATTTGCTTTGAGTTCTTTTGAGTAAGGAAATTGTTGCAGTGGGGAATCTGCTCTCTGCTGTCTACTCCGTGGTTTCATGACAATGGCAGACTGATGTGGCTTATAATCAGAGATTGCAATGGGTACTAGTTGAAGCAGGAGGCTGCATGCATACGTGTGACTGATGTTTGTGAGCTACTGGATGTATGAAAGGAGTTTTAGGCATATTTATAATGAACAAGACCTTGCAAACGTATTTATAAATGTGTTTTACACATAGAAACCACCAACCTCCGTGTAAGATTTTGTGCAGTAGACCAGCAAATGGTGTATTTAAAAAGCTGAAGAGAATCATGTAAGGTTTTCCAAATTTTTTAGCAGTACAAATCTAAAAAACAAACAAAAAACAGATGTGCAATCCATTATATTGAATTAGTAAGAGTGTGAACTGCAAAACCACCACAACACGACCTCCAACCTAAACTAAACAGACAGGCAAGGAAAGCATTGTGAGATACAGAAGCAGATATCTATAGTTTGTGAATCATGGCCATGGTGGTATCATCCTACTAGAAACCTGTCAGGGTTACTGGAAAGATGGAAGGAGCTAAATGCAAAAGAATCTTAAGAATGATTACTAAGGGCAAAAGACAGGGCTGAATGTTCACCTTAAAGCTAAAGAGCAACCCTAAACATAGAACCAGAGCTTTGTTGTGTTTCTTTAGTTTAAAGTATGTTCATGTGTTGGAATGGCCTAAACTCTGAACCTAAAGCCAATCCTAAATCAGTCAGTCATCAACAGGCACTCTCCCTCCAATCTGACTGAACTTGAGCTTTATTTTAAAGCTTAAGTTTAAAATGAAGCAAGAATTTCAGTTTCTAGATGTGTGAAGCTTTTAGAAACCCCATACCTTTATAGGCTTTTAATCCTAACAACCAGGTTTTAGAAAACATATCTCTTAGTTCTCAGTTTTTTAATAAAAACAAAGGTAGCTTCTAATATACTATAAAACTGAGACCTGCAAACATCCACCACACCCTGGGCTCCATCTGCTCCATTTAGCCAAGTGGAATTGATTCTGGTCTCTGTCTGGTTCCAGGAGGAAGATCTGAACTGCGTGAGAGAGCGCTGGTCAGAGGCGTTGATCAAACGCAGGGAGTATCTTGATGAGCAAATCAAGAAAATCATCAACAAACATGGTAAGTTTGGGGACATGAAGGGAAGCAATCAGTGCTGCTTTGATTGAGACTGTTTATGATTTGGTTGTTTTGTTTTTGTTTGTAGAAAAGTCAGAGGAGGATATGGAGAGGGAAGCACGGCTGGTGGAGCAGTGGGTTGGCCTGACTGAGGAGAGGAACGCGGTGCTGGTGCCTGCAGCAGGCAGTGGCATCCCTGGAGCTCCTGCAGACTGGTGAGAGGGCAAAAACAAACACTTATACGCTATTACCCTTTGACTTTTCCAACCATTAACTATATTAATCTGGATATAGGACCCCACCTGCAGGGATGGAGGCTCACATTCCTGTCCTCTTCCTTGATTTAAATGGTCAGTGAGGCCAAATATAACACTTGATTCACAATATCCTCTTTGGCTTTCGAAATTCAAACAGCTTTTTTTATGCTTCCAGCGGATAATCTGACAGTTAATGAGCAGCAGACCGGGCCACACACTGCTGGTGTTAACTCTATCCTGCCCAAAGAGCATGGCAGCCAGTTTTTCTATCTGCCGATCATCAGGCACAGCCATGAGGAGGTGAGCAAAGACTGTACTGCCCTCTGCTGGCTCAAATCAGGGTAATATAGTTCTGTAACTAAGCCTCTGTGCCCTTGGTAGAGATGGAGGAAAGGTTATTTTTACAGCTTCTGTCTCTGTAAATGACTGTGAAGTTGCATGAATGACGCAGCCCCTGTAATCCGCCAGGTCCTGGCTGTTTGCTCCTGGGACTCGTCCATTCACGACTCTGTGCACCTCAACCGAGTCACGTCCCCCAACGAGCGCATCTACCTGATCATTAAAGCCACCGTGCAACTCAGCCATCCGGCCTCCATGGAACTGGTCGTCCGCAAGAGGATTGCGGTCAACATCTACAACAAGCAGGTTAGTGCTGGAATGGATGGGAGGGGAACTTAGAGGCTTAGAGCAACGTGCCGTTCTTTACGCTTTTTTTTTTCTTTCCCCCCCAGAGTTTCACTCAGAGCCTCAAAAGGAGGATGTCTCTAAAGAACACGCTCTACTCATGTGGTGTGATTTATGAGATTGTTTCCAACGTACCAAAGGTACAGTTCATTTTATACAAATATCTTAAAAACAGATTCATCAACGTATTTTAAAGGTTAGGGCTTAGGTTTTTTTTTTTATCTTTATCAGTTTTTTCTCATCTGTCTTTCCAGGCATCAGAAGAGCCAGAGGAGAGGGAGACCTTAGCTCTAATGGCTGCTAGAGGGGACAGCGAAGAAACTCAGGATGGAGAAACATACATTGAGAAATACACCAGAGGGGTGCTGGAAGTGGAGAATATTTTGAGTTTGGAGAGGCTAAGACAGGTATCTGACAAAATGAACACAAGTCCAACCAGCTGAAAGCAGGTTTGAGCTAACTCACTGCTGTGCATCTAGCAGTGGTGTCAAAAGTACGCACATTTGTTACTTAAGTAGAAGTATAGGTACCGCAGTTTAAAAACACTCTGGTAAAAGTTGAAGTATCAACTTGACCTCTTTACTCAAGTAAAAGTGAGAAAGTATGTGCTCCAAAAACTACTTAAAGTATAAAAGTATAAAGTAACCATTAAAAAATACGACACGCTCTCGCCTGTGTCCAACCTTTCAAACATTTCAACATCTTTTTCTGAATCCCACATTGTAACATGGCATAGACAATTCACGTTTGCAGTTTGAAGAACACCTGCTTCCTTCTGATGATTTCCTTTAGCTAACCAGTGAGTGATGCGTTAAATGACTCATCCAATTACAGTAGTTTTCACTAGATGTGGATGGAGCCAATGATCTGCATTGGATGGAGCACATGAAGGGAAATAAATATTTAGAGACATTAAACCGAAGCCAAGAGTAACGAGTAACGTTTGTTTTAAAAATGTAGAGAATAGAAAGTACAGATACTTGTGTGAAAATGTAATAAGTAGAAGTCAGGAGTAGGAAGAAAAATAAGTAATGGAGTAAAGTATAGATACCTAAAAAGTGTACTTAAGTACAGTAACGAAGTATTTGTACTTTGTTACTTGACACCTCTGGTATCTAGTAAGCATTGGTTTAAAGTCTTTGTAATGTAGCCACAGATTTGGTTTGGTCATTGGCTGTATAACGCATAGAAATACAGATTTTTGCCCCTCCTGCTGCTGCACACTGCTGATCAGCTGGCTGAAATAGTGCTTCTTTCTCCACCTCTCAACAAAGAACCCTTCTTTTTTAGGTTTACTTTTTTCTCAGCAGAAAAGTTTTGAAATTTACACAAAATATGAATTTTATTTAGATTTTTGTGTGAAGGCCAGATACTTTAATGTATTATATTCTTTATTAGACTCCTATACTGCTCCACTAATAATGTCTAGTTGGTTAGGGTCATATTAGTCTAAACTGCTTTAGCCTGACTGCAGTTGCTAAAACGTATTAACTAGATTGTAAACTCCTTAATTCTGGCTTTGTTACTTAGTACTGTTATATGAAAAACAACATATATTTAGTGTTATTTGTAAATGTTATTCTACAAACTGCTTCCAATTACTGTGGTTCTACTCCTGTTTGTTTCTTTAAGACGTATGAAAATTAATGGCTAATGACCTCTAGTCAAATTAAAATGTTACCTTTCTGCTGGTAGATTTTATCAATTCGAGTCATGGAACCACATCTGGTTACAATGGCCTCTTAGCAGACTATAGGAAAATACTCAGCCAACAGTGGGTTTGAAACATCCTCCAGAAGGACCTGGATTGATGTGTTAACAGTGGAAATTCCTTTTGTAATCAGCAAAGAAATGACCACAGAACAAAAGAATGGAATGACAAAGTGGCGCAATGTTCAGATATTTTCTCTTCTGCCTAACCTCATATAACCTGTCTAACTGTAACCAAAATAATAAAGTTAAATGATTGGCTTTTCAGCAATATTTAGACATTACAAGATCTCTGCTATAAGATGGCAAGATCTTGGTTATTAGATCTTAGCAAAATATTTGTCTGAGAAAGTTAAGGCACATTTAAAGTGTAATTCTATATATTTGTGTTCCTGTCCACCTGAAACTATTCACTACAGATAGATCTGTCCTGGTGTTTCTCTGCAGGCTGTGACTGTGAAGGAAGCACTTGCTGCTAAGGGGAGACATTTGAGAAGGAGTGCAAGCACACCAAGTGTACAGCATGTAATTAACACAACTTTTTTCAACTGAACAAATACATTTTACGGTGAACATAAAGTTGCTGAAAACGATTTTCTTTTTTTCCCTCAGTCTTCGTGCAGTAAAATTGACCTGACTGAGGACGAAGATGGCAAGACTCATCAGGCATGTTTTTACCTAAAGACACTTTCTATCATTTTATTAAAAACCCCAGTTTAGAAATTTTAAAACATATTTTTTTAATTACTATTGATAAAAATAAACGCAAAGTATGCTACTATTACTAGAACCTCAATATAGTTTTTGTTCTCCACCTCTTTTTTCTTGTAAAATGATTAAAGATGTACTGAAATGCACCCTTTTTTTTTTACCTGAATGCTTTTAATAATTCCTTGTTTTTTCAGAATCAGAAATACTTAATAATTCCAGAGGGAAAATACTTTTGTTACACACTCCAGTTACAGTTTTATATATATACCGTAAATTCTCTAATATTGGCCGTTATTCCAATAGCGGCCGGGTCTCTAACATTGGCCGGTCTCACTGTCAGAGGAGGTAAATAATGGCCGGTCTCTAATACAGGCCGGGGCTATAAACGCTTTTTTCTGGGCATACCTCAACATTATACTTGTGGTAGTA